GGGATTATTCAACAATCTCAAGGATCTCTTAAGATTTGGGGAGTTATGGTCTTCCCCGTGTAGTGGTAAAACTCTTTGTTTTATGGTAATTTTTCCTCACCAGCCCAGAATATCAAATCTACTGTTGCATTTGTCCTATTGCATAAACAGAGGTTTAGTTTAAAAGAAAAAGCCACTAGAGGAGATACACTTTCAAAACTGTAATGAATGCTGGTTGCTAGGAAGCAGGATTGATGGTTATGCAATAGGTAACTGGTCAGAACTATAAAACCATTACTAAATCTCACTCAAAAAAATCTTCGTAGTGCCCGCATGAGTTATTCTAAATGATACTAACTTGCACTTGAAATATATATATAATATATATATGTATCTATACATACATGTATAGTCCCCATGAAAAAAGAGAAAAGGAGAAAAATGTCCTTAGTTAATCTCAAAAGAGAGGGGCATTTTAACAGTATCTCAGTGCTTTATGGAGACAGATGGAAAATACAGTAGACAGGCTGCAAAACAGACAGACAAACAACACATAGGACAAAGCACCTCAAAAAACATTGACCGAAGAAGTTTTTGAAGCTCATGAGCCAGAGGTATAAGGCTGGTCAAAAACCCCACTTGACAACTATTGCCCTCTTAAAGTTGTACAAAAATAATGAAATAATCTTGATTTACTTGGTACTCAGCCTCTGAAAATGTTGAAGAACCCTGGAGTAGAGAAATGACTACAGTACCAAGCAGCACTTGCTAGCTTAAAATTGCAAGCCTGGATGGCATTTACCTTTCTTGCATGTTTTGTGCCTTCCCCAAGCCATTAAGAAAGAGATCTGGCTTCTGCTTGCGTGTAACCAGTAATGACAACCTCTTTGCAGTTATCTGTGTGCAAACAACCGGAGACATTCAGAACTCTGATACAGCAATCTAGTACCAAAGTAAGTTAATCAAGAAATAAAACCATTTATAAACAAGTAGTTTGTTAAAAAATAAAGGAAAAGGTTAAACAAAGAAAAACAATCCCACATGCAGAACAGTTTATCAGTGCTTTCATTTCAGCAAGATGGTACAATGCAAGAACACACATCCAGAGCCATCTGTGGTCTCCGTAATCAGCAACACGGCTTGTCAGGTGATGGAGACAGGATGGTCCATGCAAATGAGCAGACCCAAGTCACATTGTGTGCAACCAAGACACGATTCCAGACATCTTCAGAATGGAGTAGAGTCACAGGAAATGAAGGTTCAATGGAGTGATTGGTAATTAGTTGGAAGCACATTATTTAAAATATATCTCCCTGAAAATATGCTTATTTATTGAATATACTGGCCAATGGCATCCACTAACTGTCCTTTTATTGCCACAGGAAGGTAGGACAATATAGCAGATAAAAGGAGAAGCACTACCTTAGGTAATTGTTAAAAGCCAAGATAAAAATCTTCAGCTACCCAAGTGGCATTTATTACTGACAGTTACATCATGCAGGAATTATACCATATTTGTGGAGCCTATAGTTAATGCTACATTTATTTCCATTATGCAGTAAACAGTATTTGAATTAATACTATGTAGCCGATTGACGACATCTGGTTTACAAGATAGAAGGGATGGGAGACCGAGAGCGCCTTAGAGGACAAGGTGAGCTGTAGGGTGATGTTACTGGAGACAGTCGCAGAGCATTGCCTGCCAAGCCAGCTATGTTGTTTAAGCTTCGAGATTTTTCGTAGCCTTGTATGAGAAAATGCACAGACATCAGTTGAATTCAGCCAAAAAATAGACAAAGACAAACAATACAATGTAATGTAATCCAAGGAGCTATCTGGGACTCAAAGAGAATCTTCCTGCAACAGAATTCAATCCTGAGACACGTTACTACCAAAAGATGTTAGTAAATAAAATAATTCACAAATAAATGCAGCTATTCTTTCCCAGGAAATGAAACAGAGCACCACACAAGAGCTCTGACCTGTTCTTCCACATCCCAGCTTGCACTCAGTACCACTCTGCTGGCTTCAGCAGGGTTGCACAGAGCGCAAGATAAAGGACCCCAAGAGGGTTGTTGGGTGAGCTATCTGCCTAAGCATATTCAAGATGCCATTAAAAGAAAGGCAGACTATAAAAACTGCTAGAATAATACAATCTCTATCAAACTCGATTCATAATAAAGGAAGATTTTTCTTTAAAAATAAATAAAACAAAAACCAGATGAAATTGCATAAAGTATTTGTAAGCCATTTCTGCAGAGGCTTTAATGACATTATAGTAAAAAAAGCTCCATCTTCAGATTTATTAACCCTAAGACTTTCTAATATTAAAGTAAAATACGATAGCAGAGTATGACATATTTGCAACTGCTTCCTCACTGGCAAATTTAAACCACTGTATTTGTGCTCCTTATCCAGCTGACTCAAATGAACTACAGTTCCATTCCACATAAGCAAGTAGTAAAGAATTAATCACTAAATGGGACAATCACATAACAATGCCTCACAGTTTGGAGTGAACATTGCACTTGCAGACATTTCTGTTCACATTTACTGTCAGCTCCAGCTGCCTATTTTATGTGACACGTAGATTGTTTTCACTTTGTAAAGGCTATGGTATAAAGCATCAGAATAGCATTGCTATTCACTCCCTCACTATCTTCATATTTAAGCATTTTCAGTGATGCCTGAATAATTCCACCTACGAAGAAAAGGATCAGCCCATTGCTCTGGAGAGAGCTACCAGCAGGGACACTACAAGGAAGATCAAGCTTTTCTGGATTACTCTTCCCTCATCCTGTGTTACCTTTTCCCAGATACTGCTGGACAGGCCCTCACTCCTGAAAGGACTGAGATAACTTGCTTCACTGTAAGCATGAGAAGTCCCATTGATTTCAATGGCACTACTTACTTGCTTAAAGGCAAGCATGTGTCTAAGCATTTGCAATGTATTGCTTACAGTGAAATACTGAGACTTTCCTGTCAATAAAATGACACTACATTTACACATTACATGAGGTGTCACCAAGCATTTTCTTTTTCTTATTAAAGCAGTTGCTGGTTCAAACTCCAGGTCTCAGACAACAGATCACTGGTGGCATCTTTAGGAAAAATCAGGTCTCAGGTTCTCTCCAAAATACATATTCTTTTGGACAATCACTGCATCACTGTTTGTGTTTGCATAGGTCTTAAGCCATTGAGCGCCATGGTGAAAACATATGCAGTAATAATAATAAAGACAATTAACATGTTTTTTACCTACTGAAAATTGCATGTTGTAAAACTGTACTTAAAACAAATGTGTAATCTCATGTCTGCTAAAACATTGTGCAGTGTTATCTCCAGATTGCAAGGGCACGTGGAGTTTCTGAGTTTCTATCAGTACTTACACAGATTAGAAAGAATTGTGTTTGAAAGGGGAACGGAAGGGAAGCACAATCTTAATCTAGGTATTTAAATGCTCCTGTAAACTTAATGCTGACAAAAAGATCTAAAAGATCAGGTAGCTTTTTTTGCTACACAGAAACTAGGAAACTAATATTTTTAATAATTTTCCTGTTACTTTTTTAAGTAACATTTTTCTTTGCTTTTCTAAAAGCAAAGAAGAACTGATAGAGGAAGGAAGACAAGATAGTAAAAACAGGAAAGAAAACAGGAACTCCTAGAAAATGAAAACCAGACACACAAGATGAATAGAGATAGAGGCATAATCCAAACTTAATCATTTCCAGGTATTTCAGTGTGGTTTGGATCAGCTCTGAAGCAGTATCACCTTAGAGATGGAGATAAGATGCTAATGCAAAAAAGCTCTGAATAAACAATCACTGAAAACAATCAAGAATTAATTAAGGGACCAACTAAACAAGAAGGATATACCAAAAGAAAAAAAAAAAGGGTAGGGTGGGAGGAGGAACAAAATGGAAAACTAGTAGACTTGATGTGTGAATTAAATTCAAGTATTCAAAACCATTTGGAGGTCACTTGAAGATGTTTCCTGCTTATGAGCTAGCTTCCCTACTCTATATAAAACAGACTTCAAAGTCAGTGGCTAAAAAATTTCAGCGTAGGTTAAGGTTATCATTACAGCCAGTCAAATACCACATTTTGCATTGAGATAATGTCAGTTCTGAATTCAAAACCCATTTTTTCAGGATAAACTATGAAACTGAATTTCCTATCGAATCTAGATTTTGATATGAAAATGTTCATGTATTCCTAGTGGAACATATATTTCATTTTCATATGAACATTTATCTCTAGAAATTAACGGGTAACTTCTGTTATTTCTGAACTGTTCTAATTACAGTTTCTACTAAGTAAGCAGTACTGAAATTTTTATACTAACATCTCTAAATGAATCAAAGAGCCTGATCTTGCAAGACGCCATGGCAATCTGCATTATTCAGGTGTTCCTGACCTCCTCAAAAGACTGGACCCTTACTGTTAGGGATACTGTGAAAAATCCAAAGTGTCCAGAAGTCAATACAAAACATATTCACATTAGATAAGAGTCCTAAAATCTATGTGCAAAAACATGCTTGTAACTAAGTACCATTTAATCTAAACATTATATATAGGAATATGTGAAATGTAGGAGAATTGAGACAATCATATTCTTTACAAATACCATATACATTGCACTGTGGCTGCACATCTACCTTCACAAGTTTAACCTACTGAGCTCATGCTTTTGAAATGTGAAAAGAATATCCTCTTGCATTTTGCTGAATAACCAACAGAATTTGTTTTTAGAGTCTGTGGCTGGCTGGGACAGCTACATTTGCTGCAGACAAAGCTAGAAGAAAAAAAAAATCACAGAAAAATCTCAGCCCAAGTTGTTTGTCCAGTGCCACATGGCTACTGCAGATGGTGAATTCTGAGAGAAATAGCATATCAGTGATCAGGAATGTGAAAACTATTAGAATACTATTCTTTGCCAAGAAACCAAAGCTATTCTTGTCTAAGAAAATGGCAAGATTACCCGGGCATTGCTGATTTTTGTGCTATGCCCTAAGGTTAGCCTTCCAGATACCGCCAGCTGTGGCCCAGGCAGACTGTCACACAATCAATTGCGCGAGTGATAATGCCAGAAGGCTCTGCAAACACCATTCGGAGAACCCAATCCTAGCAAATAGTGAGTAATCAGACTTGAACAGGATGAACAACTATAGAAGACATTTTCAGCACCTTGCAAGTTCAAGCCATTTTTTAATGTGGTTGAATTCTGGATGGGGTAGACTATGCTATTACCGTCACCTTTCAGCATTAATGGTGTTTTACAAAGATGAAAATTTTTGTGGCATTTTGTGGCAAAAATCTCAGTAGAATCTCCTGTGATATGGCTTGTTGTGTTCAGAACAAAAATACTGTTTACTTCTGATATTTCAATCTTTTAAATGTAATTTATTCAGCTATAAAGTTATTAAGTGCAGAACAAAGTTATTAACTAATTAATTTGTCTTTTAGAATGACAAATGGTATTGAGGGATGAATGACTGAATGAGAAAGGTCTGAATTACAGGCTTTTCCATTAAAGGTAACAGACAAATGAAGACACAAATAGAATGAGGGTTCAACATCAAGCATTTTTTTTTTTTAAGACTGAGAGATAAGGTGGTTTCTAAAAGAAAAGCAAGAAGAGAATGACTAGGAAGAAAGAAACAAATACATTGTGAGTACAGTTTTTCCTATAAGAGCATTGTGCACATCATTTTACTCTAAGCTCACTTTTCACAAGCACGTTGCTGAGTGACCTTTTATGATCTAATGAAAGAAGTCCATACCTTTCCTGATCCCTCCATCAGTAGCACACGTGTAATCACCTGTTGTCAGTAGGAAACATGTTCCCCCTCTTCTGTTTTTGTCTCTGGTACTAGAGCGTCTGATGGGAGGGAGCCTTTCACCAGGTGAGAGTGGCTGCTCACTTCCTGCACTGTCTTCACCTGATAACACTGGTTAAAGCACCATGCCCATTTACAGACAAATAATGAATGAGGAAATGAGACATCACAAAGAGCTTATGTTGAATGCCAGATATTCCCATCACTCAAAAAATAGTAATAAGGTAAATCATTGGAAGAAAATAAGATTGCAATTCATCATTCATCCGTACAAAATGCCAAAAATATATATTTTTATTCAAGTACAAATGATCTTTTGACTTTCCTGTTCTTCTTTTTAAATCTCACTTAACATGAAATAAAAAATAATCAAATCAAGATTAAGTTAGTTGCCTTCTATAGACTGTAACCTTTCTGAGCACAGTCAATCTAAGACATTTCAAAAATGAACTTATTACTTTGGCTATTCTTTTTATCAAACAAGAAGCCATGCTAGCCATTTTTGCTTAGAATATGTTCCTTAACATACTTTGAAGAACCACTCTAGCAGGGTTAAATTATGAAACATTTGGCACTGAAACCTCCTTAAAAATATGCATTTAGCATTTATGTCTGTGCTTGCTGTCATACTGGTATTGCTTGTCATCATAATTACCCAATACTAAATGCTTTCTTTGATCTGTGTAGTTAATTTAGTCAAACAGCAAAACTCTCACCTCTACTGATCCCAAAGGACTCTTTTTAAAATTATCTACTATTTCCGACTCAGGCCACACTTCAAGAAAAAACCTCTGCTCAGCAAGGCATGTAACAGGTAGTGGCATGTTATTGACTTCAACTTTACCTTTGCATTTAAAGCTGAGCAGGTGCTTTTCTGAAATGGTAATGCAAAGGGCTATATTCAGCCTTGAAGTTTTGCACAAAATTCCTAACTAATCTAACAGAATTTCTACGCAAAATGAAGTTAGAACATACAATGCAAGTGGTGGCACTACCAAAGAGAAAGTCAACACTTAAAAATTGCTCCTTTTTTGTATAGCTGCTTTCTCCCTAACCTCAAGGATTATAACACCTTGTAAATAAAGCTGCAGACACCCTAGAAAGTGTCTCTTTGCTCTGATCACACTGAGCCTCCTCCATCCTGGTATACCTTTAGCAGGACCTGATAACATGCAAAAGCTGTTTTCATTAACACTTTAAAGATGTTATCTGAAAGTGTGTATCAGTCAAAGCACTGTAAAACTAACTATGTTCCACCCACAACACACGACCTTTCAAGGGTTTCCATCCTCTTAAATATCTTTAGAGATGTTCAAAAATCTCTGTTAACTTTGTCTGTGAATATTCACTCGGAGACTGAAACTGAGGTTCTTTGAACATAAATGCTATTCAGTCACAGAGCCACAGAACAAAGAAGGATATTATTCAGAGAGAGATTTTCCAGATTCTTCTTTGTAAAAAATAAATTTCAGTTACTGAATGACATCAGTCATGTTTTTTTGATGTCTTATTATCATTTAATAACTTTCCAATAGGAGCCTAATGATTGGTCTGTGAGCTTTGTCATCATACTGCGTTTGGCTTAAGAATAAATACATTCAATAAAGAAACAAAAAAAAATCCTTGCTGCTACAAATTTCTTTCAATTATACTGTAAGATAAACCTCCCTCTTTAATTTCAATAGATATGGAATTTGGAGCAGTGGTTTGGAGGGGTATAGGCTGTCATTTGATAAGGTTTTTTTTCACAGAAATTAGCATAAAACAGTCCTGGTCTGTGATTTGGGACTCTGAGAGTTAAGGAAATACAAATCATAAAAATCAACACTGAGAGTGATGATGATGTTGCTGGGGATTGCCATTTTCATTTTTCTTGACAAACTTCACATCAACTTTACTCTCATCGTCCAATTAATAGTAAATACCATGCAACGTCTCATCTAACACAGATGAAGGAGGTTCTTCCTGCCAAGGAAGCAGAACCAAATGGAGAGAAAGCTAGAAAGAGAATCTCCTCTTATTTCCTTTGAGTGCTGGGCTTTTTATGTAAAGCACCTGTTCCTTGTAAGTGGCTGCTTCTTTTTAGGATCTTGTTTAACAGCCCACTATGTGGCATAGGCAAAGCTGATACAAGAGACAAACACTGAGGCAAAACACCATGGAATTCAACAGGGTGGGACACGGTGGCTGTTCAAATTGTCACAGTCATGCAGAAAAACAAGAAACACCCATACAACACAACAAACAACAGGCAAAAAGAAAGCATTAGCAAAAGAGCAAGCAAAACTGTATAGACCAGCTACATATAGAATTGGGAACATCACTGTAACTATTTTTTCCTCTACAAGAACACGCAAACACTGGAGGGGAGAAGGGTGGGAGCTACATCTGCTCATTGCAGAAAGACTGGCTGCTTTCTGGCACCTACCAAACATACTGGTCTATAAAGTGTTTTGAGAGGACATGCATTTCCAGTGGGGTCCTACCTGATGATCTGTTGTGTTCCATCAGCTGGTTGTCCTTGCCCAAGCAGATGTCCCCCTGCGTGCTATTGCAGGCCATGTTCAAGTCCGTCTTGCAGAAGGTAGGGGAGCTGGCTTGAGGGGCAGGTGGGATGTGCTTCTTCCGCTTCCTCGGCAGTTTCTGCTTTGCCATCGCCAGGGAGTAGTACATTCCAAAATTGTTAACAATAACAGGCACGGGCATGGCTATGGTCAGCACCCCAGCCAAAGCACACAGGGCCCCCACCAGCATGCCTGACCAAGTCCGCGGATACATATCCCCGTACCCAAGGGTTGTCATGGTGACAACAGCCCACCAGAAGCCGATAGGGATGTTTTTGAACTGCGTGTGCTCGCTCGCTGACGGGTCGTTGGGCTGGGCTCCCACTCGTTCTGCGTAGTAGATCATGGTAGCAAATATCAAAACACCTAGTGCCAGGAATATTATCAGCAGCAAAAACTCATTGGTGCTGGCTCGCAGAGTGTGGCCCAGCACCCTGAGGCCCACAAAGTGGCGGGTGAGTTTGAAGATTCGCAGGATCCTCACAAACCTTACTACCCTGAGGAAACCAAGCACATCCTTAGCAGCTTTGGAGGAAAGCCCACTCAGGCCCACTTCTAGGTAAAAGGGCAGGATGGCCACAAAGTCAATGATATTCAACAGGTTTTTGATGAATTCAAGTTTGTTCGGGGAAAAAACAACACGGACTAAAAATTCAAATGTAAACCACACCACGCAGACTCCTTCCACGTATGTCAGAGCAGGATCTGTCTCAATTTCATACTGTAGAACAGCTTCTGTCCCGTTGACAACCTGCTCAGTTTTGTTTATAATAGTATTGAAAGCCTCATGTGTTTCCAGGCAAAAGGTTGTGATTGAGACTAGGATGAAGAATAAAGAGGCAAAAGCAATGAACTGCAATGAAAAGAGGAAAAAGAGGACATCAGAACCACACAGATCTTTAACAATAACAATAAATAAATCATTGATTATCACAAGTTTTATGCTAATTCATCCCAAAAGCTCCCCAATTTATTCACAGATTTCTACACGTGAAACTTTGCATTCAGGCCAGAGGAGAGCAGCAGACAGCTCCCAGTACACAGTACACAGGCCAAGAGTCTGGGAGCAGGAAAAGCTTTGGTGATGGACACCACAGCATAAGGCAACTCATCTGAAAAGTGACAACAAATTCTTTAATCCATGCTAACTTATCTGAATTCCATTCAGGAACCTTACGAACAACCCTCATACATATCCACCACAGCAAAATTTAAGGCTGTCAGCTGCTCAAACAGAGAAGATTGGGCAACTGGGCCAACCCTAACGGTCTTGAGATTATGGTTCAGGAATGCACACCTAGTCTGTCCCAGGAACCGATTCAAAGAGAAGGTTTCCTTTGGATTTTCATTAATTCACAAACACAGATAGAAAATCTGTGTCTCTGTGGAAATCTTTTCACTGATAGAAAAAGTCTTCAGCATTACAGCTAGAGTTGGTTGCACCATCTGTCTAGTTCACAGTCATCCATAGTTCTGCTGAAAATCTTTACTCATACTCTTAGGCAGGACTAAAGTAAACCTAACGTACTTGTTCTCCCTTCTAAAGCCTTTCTTAGCAAAACAGCACTTTATCTACTTTTATCCAGCACTGAGAAAGTCCCATTTCCCAAAAAGCTAATATATCAACATCCTTCACCCATTGTCCTGTTTTTCAAAAAGCCCTGTCATGCTTTTTCAGTGCCTTCACTCAGAAGCAAAGCTCTGGAAAACACAGGGGCTGAAGCAGTCTCCCAAGATAAGGCCCAATGTCAAACGTTTTCTAATCATGTCAGATTTTAATCACCCAGGTGGTTAAAACTTGGTTATGCCACTTCTCTGTCTCGGGTGCCTAAGGGTGTTCTGTGCAGGGTCTTTCCCTCTACCTGTTTGTTTATTATGTTCCAGCAAAAAAGGGATTCAGTCATTTCTGACAACAAGATTAGGAAAAGACATTTTCCTTTCTCCCATTTTCAGAAATATACACAACTATTTCATAGGAAATATCTAGAACATATAGGATCTGGAACAAGGCCGCAGAGCTTTATCCGTGCTTTAGAAGTGCTGTACCACAGCCCTACTACCAAAATTTCAAATCCAGGATGTTCTGAACAAACAGGGAAATCAAAATACAGGTGTTCTAGGACACATTAACCGGTAAAATACTAGTAAATAATCTGGAGGCACCACAGCACTCATCTAGGATTGACAAGAATTTAAAAAACAGGTACTACCTGATCTTTAAGTCAAGCTGTTACAGTTAAGCACAGAAGAAAAACAGAACTTCCAGGACAGGATCCCACAAAAAACACTGAGTCCAACAGCTGGAGGGGGAGATAAAAATCCTTACACCCAGTAGAATGCAGAGAACAAAAAGGTGTTTTGAGGGCAGTTGCTCCTCTGCTAAATGTTTATCTTCTTTTAAATGACAACATTTTACCAGCATATTATCTTTCCAGCCGCAATTGCACAATGCATGAATAGGCAATGTGTTTAAATGCCTCTCTGAGCTAGGGCTTATAACATTCTCAAGTGTGCTTGTTATTCTGGATTTCCCACTTAAAAGACATTTTATAGCCACTATTACCTTCGAACAGACTTTCTAAAGACTTGAAGATTCTCAAAGGTGTTAAGGGCCCAAAGAGACAGAATGATGCTTAAGCAGGTTTTTGAAAATATCCTGGTATCTGTATGTTTCCTTAGACATCTAGCAGCTTGAAATCGGATCAATGTGATATCAATACAAAAATACAACAAAATGGCAGCAGGTGACTAACTCTTTTGGCCTCTGATTTCTGTAATCTTAAACTCTGATTTGTTAGTAAAACAAAAACATACAGTAAACATCTCAGTTTAATTCATACTCTTGAAGCAGGCTCGTCATCCTTTTTTAGTATTATTTATTTTAGTAAATGGACTTGACATGCTCTAAGCTTGCTTTAATACTACTTACAAATCACTTCCTTAATCTCCTAATCCCCTACCTGAAACTGAGCACCTTAGCATTGTCCAGCAAGTAGAAAAAAAAATCATGTTTTTTACTACCAATCTAATAGAAAGGGCATCTTAGGTTCTGGGTCCCAGCGCTACAGACAGGAGAAACTGTGGCAGCAGCAGGATGTTGGCATGTTAGCACACCAATGTCTTGAATCTCATTGAAAAAAATCTAGTTACTGTGGAGATAGAGTGGCAACCATAAGCAAGAATGTCTCCATTCTGTTACCTTAATCCAGGCTGCAACTTTATTGCAAAACCAATTTTGTATACTTTGGTTACCAATTATTGAATTAGAATTGTGTGCTGGAAGAGTTCATTTGGGCTGGTATGACTATGTTTTCCTAATACAGAACATTAGTTAGACGACAAAACGTTGTCTACACAACCTGTGGAGAGAATTGCTTTTATTCCATGCAACAAGTCTAAATTTGCAATGAGGGCCTGGTAGGTTTATTATATTCAGAGTGACAAGATATATCTATCCATCTACAAAACATATATCTAACATATATTTAGTATATCTAGAGCAGACATTTGTGGCTTGTTTATGGCTTCCTTTCCCCAGTCAATGGAACTAAGTTACTATACCACACCCTTCAATTACAAACACTCTAAATCTGATACCTTTCAGAAAGGACTGACTCAGGGACTGAATTGAACAACACTTATCATCCACTCTGAATTTCTTGCTGCAAACTAAGCAAACAATCCATCTAGCTGATTTTTACCAAGTAGGCTTTCTGCCTTTCCCTTAACTATAAAACTGCTGTATGTTCATAGCTCATTTCTTCCTGGCACCTGACACCAGCATATACATATAAGCCCTAGTCTTGTGTGAGACAGCTAGAGTCAGCAAACCCAAACAGATTTATTTAACCTAAGTGAATTAATCTCAGCAGATCTTTGCAAAAGCTTTCCATAACACGGACAGAGAATCTATTAGACTCTAAACCAATGGTGGACTAAGAACGACCCTTGGGATGCTATGACAGCACCTTCCAGCATCTTTTTATATGGTGCAAGAGGGTATAAGGCAAGTGAATCTACGGAGTTTAAGAATCACTGAAGCTAAGTCATGCTATATTTTGCAATTTGGATGGCAATTTTTAATAGACAAAATAATCTTTTAGAAGGAACATGACTGTTTATTTCAGGGCATTATAAATGTTTTTCATCTGAAAAGAACAAAAAATTACATTCAACCCAGCCAAAAACCAACAACGCAGAAATAATAAGGATTTTATGAGCATTCAACAATATACTGAATCTAATAGGAGGTAAATAATTGCAGCACCTATTTTGGGGCTATTTTTCAGCAAAAGTGTCCTCTCTGGTTCACATTCTTTCCAAAATCACCAAACAGCATGGGATTAGTTACAGGTACAACTGCCTGACAAGCTTTTTATTACTATCATGTGTAACACTGACACTATGAAAGGCCACAGTCCACTTAACACTTGACAAAGAAGCTAAGAGTTTTAAACTACATTCAAGGACTCTTTATTATCCCTAGAGGAGAAAAACATTCAGTCATTTTCAAAATCAGCTGAGTATCCTGTTCTGATATCCTGAAGGCAAGCATCCTTCAGATGTTATAAAAAAGACAGATAAGAAAAAAGACAAGAAAAAACGGTTATATGTCTTAATCTGGTGAAAGATTTTTTGATAATCCTATGGCTTCCATTCGTAGTGTTATAAAACAATGAGATGTACGCATTTATCCATGTACACAACCATATACATACCATAGATTTTGAGCAAAGGCACTCTTTCTTTTTTGTTACTCTTTATATCTCCTGTTGTGTCTTGTTTTAGGCGGCAGACTCCTGGCATAAGGGGGTTTGTACAGGCAGTTTGTACAGCACCTAACACAATGAAACCGTATACACACAAAGGACCCACAATGTTATTGCAACAATCAGAGGGTTCAGAAAAAAATTAAAATAGTGTCCAATCTAAGAAAGACCATTTTCTCAATTAAAAAAAAAAAAAAAGAGCATGGGTGTTTTTTTAATATTAATAAAGTCATTTCCTTAATATTGTACTACATAAGATCAGGCAACAGGTTGAAAAGAATCAATCAGCCTTTTCACAAACAGTTGTAATGACAGAAACTCAGTTAAAACTCACGTTAGCCTTGCTTTCTGCTATTTTCCTGCTTCATCCCAATTCCATCTTCTCATTTCAAAAGCAATGTGCTCTAAAAAAGCACACTCAGTTTTGTTCATGTGGGTAACCAGCACATTTCAGACAAAGTTAGTACAGATTCAAACTCCCAGATTCTCTGGTGGATGAGATCACCAGCTGAGTTCTGTTCTTGAGTCCTCTAGTGTTCACTTAACTGGGGTACCATCCATAACCCTTATTTTTCATGAAGCATACAAATCTAAAAGGAGATTGACAGATCATTGTTTGAGAAAGGCTACAGAAGGAGACAATTTTTTGTTTGAATCATTAGCAACTCGTCTTTGTGGGAAGTTCTGAAAACTTAGGTTTTGACCAATTGTAAGACAAATTCAACCTTGTTGTACAGCAAAACAACTTCCTTGACCTCCTCTTTTGCACTGAAGACTGTGACCCAACCACATGGCTTAAATCATTGAAAAAAATTAAGAAAAAGTCTCAAATAAGATCTTAATAATTATGATTCTTTACTCATTTCTTAACAGTTTTCCAAAAACAGCTGTTTCTTGTTTGTTTCAATGGGCAAGATAAAATTATCTTTCTTCCTTAGGTTTTTTTTCCCCCTGGGGATAAAACATTCTTAAGTGATAGCATGATTGTATAGATAGTCCAGTGGCATCAAAACTAGCCATTTCCAGATACTGTTTGATTTAAGAAAAATTTTTAATGCATTTGGACTGGAGAGAGCACAGTTAA